TCTGTAGGATTAATTAAAAATTTATTTAAGATTTAAAATTTGATGAATATTTATTTAAGATTTAATTAGAATTTAATAAAAAAATTATTTAGGATTCAATTAGAATTTTATTTAAGATTAGAGATTTATTTAAAATTTTGTTAGAATTTATTTAAGATTTTTTTAATTTTTGATTTTTAATATTATAAAAGATTTTTTATTTTAATATTATTTTAAGATTTTAAATTATTTTTAAAAAATATATGAGATTTTTTATTATATCTTTATTTTTTATCATTTCTTTAAGATTTTAATTAGATTTTATTAAGATTTGATTATGATTATTAAGCTTTAATTAGAGTATATTTAAGAATCTATTAGAATTGCTAAAACTTTATTATTACAATTTCTATTTTATCTTCCGTAGCCAAGTGTTTGGTGCATTTTCAAGCAAGACTTTACATAATATGACATTGATAACTGTCAAGGACATGAACTAAAAGATGATGCATAAACCAATGAAATCCATGTCAAAGAAAGAGTGAAAAAATATAAATAAGAAAGTACGTATATTTAAAAGAAACTGGAATGGCTTATTGCCAAAAGACAAGGAAACTTGAGATGCTTGAAACTAGAATAGAAGAAAGAAAAAAGTTGACAAGAGTGAAGAGGGCTTCACTCTTGTCTCTATATATACTATCTAAGTAGGGATTATGTGGCAATGTTCTATAGAACCTCCAATATGTATTGACTTTGTAGGACACATACCTTGACTTACAAGGCAAGTTTTTCTACATGTGAGCCACATAGTTGGCTTAGTCTTCAAGCTAATAACATGTGTAGCACATGACCAACTTGTTAACTACTTTTTTAACCCAAAAAGTCAATTATAGACACCTATAAAGTCAAAATAGTGTCTATGAAGCTTCTAAGAAGCTACTATAGAAGATATTATAGAATTAACTTATTTTTATTTACTTCTACTTACTTCTACTTATTTATACAAGTAATTATTGGCTTACATGTGTATGTCCATGATATTAACTCAACAAACAATAGCTCTTGAGTTGAATCTGTTGATTATAAATTCTCTTTTTTTCAAATATAAAAAAACTACAATCAAGGATAAAAGAGGGAATGCAATCTTCATTGAATCTCATTTTTTTTATACCAAAAAATTATTTGACTCTTCATTTTAGTTTTGATAGATGTTAGTGATGAAAAGCTTTGATCTTTATTGTTGTATTTGCAAGATTCTTGGATAGCTTCCATGTATCTTTATTAATATCATATCCACGTTAATTAATAAGATATTTCAACCTAAATTGGCACCACCTTGAATCTAAGACATTTTTAACTTCAAATATTTTAATATTATGTATTTTTATGGTAAAAAGTGATATTTTTCTTTATCTCAAGATATTTATTATTGAATATGGCTAAAAAAGAGATATGTAAAATACAAGATGGATCTTTGGAGACTTATACAGGGATAATCAATAAGTGATAAGATTGATCTATTAAAAAATAAGAAATAATTAAAGTCTATATTAATTCAACTTCTTATAAGAATAACTATTTTTAATATTATAATAAAGTAATCATATCTTTTTGCTAATATAAAATTAAGGTTATTCTTTATAATTTGCATTTATATTGATCTTTTGTCATTTTTAAGCTTCTTTTAATTGTACCTTCATTGTTGCATGTAATATTGCTAAATGATTTACAAAATCTTCTACAACTAGATTATCAACTTTTGTAAAGTCAAAAGTATTAAGTCATATATGATAACCATAAATCACATAGAAAGATATTTTAAAAAATCAACTTTAGTAGTATGAAATATATATATTTCTATTTTGATTTACAGCCCTACATCTTTAAGTTTTTGTAATATGCAACAAACATAAATCTTAAATTCTTTTGTATTTATAAAATACATTAAAATTTCATCTAGATTAAAGATAATAAAATCATTTAAAAACTCTTAAAAAAAACATTCATAAGATGTTGAAAAATAGATGGTGTATTTTTAAGTCCAAGAGATATGACATTATATTCAAAATGTCCATACTTAGTTCACAATATAGTCTTCTATTCATTTTCTTTTTTGAAGTGTATCAAATAATATATTCTTTGTAGATCTATTTTTTTATAGATTTTAATTTGATTCAATAGAAGGTATCTATTCTTAATAGTAATCTTATTGAGCTCTTTGTAATGTACACATATTTGTAATGATCTATTTTTTTCCTTTTCAAATAAGATAGAGGCTTTCGCTAGAGATTTTGAATGGCGCATGAAATTCTAAGCCAAGTTTTCATAAATATATTCTTTCAGTTTAACCAACTTATTTTGTGATAAAATATAGATTAGTCTAAATGATGGCTGAGCTCTTCATCAAAGTTTAATGAACAATCATAGAAATGATGCTTTTGAAAAGTATTTTCATTTTTCTTCTTAAAAATATTTTAATAATCTTCATATTAACTTAGAATACCTCTTGAAGTCTTTCAACCAATAGAAATAGATATGACTTACATAATCTAAAGTGATTCTTTTTTAGCAGCATGCAAAAAAACTCTTGCATCTACAAATAAAGGTTTGGTTGTATTAGACTTATGACTTTTTATTTGGTTATCAAAACTCTTAATTATACTTTAAAAAAAATTAAGACTACAAGAAATTCAACCTATTTTAGGGTTATACTTTTCTAAACTCAATAAATCTAGAATGAATTAATTTCAAAGATATTTAATGATATTAAATATCACAATGCTATTATTAGTATTAATTGTAACTTCTATAGAAAAGATTTTATAGATAACATCTTTAGAAGTCAACGGACAATCATCTATAGCTTCTACTTGTACTAGTTTTATTTTCTTTACTAAGGATATATTGTGACTTTTAATAAATTTTTCATTTAAAAATTAAATTGAATCTTTTAACATCTAAAAAGGTAGAGTTTTTGTGATGCTTAGGTCCTAAACAAACATCAATTGAAAAACAAAGAGAAGGTTCCAAAGAGAGAATAGCATCTTCAGTAGCATCATTTGAATATTGAGTAATTACTTTCATTTTGAAAATTCTAAAAATTTTAAAAATAAAAATCATATTTTTATCTTTAAATAAGTTATTTTTTATATTTTTAGAAGTTTTTAAAAATAACATAGTTTATACATAAGATTTAATCTAATAACTTTTTATCTTGTATTTGCTACATATTTCTTATTTCAAAGCAAAAAATAAGGATTATACATGGTTTCTTATTTTTTTTCAAATATATAAAATTTAAATATTGATAATTGGTTTTTTTAACTTAACAATAGATCTAAATTACTAAAATTTAGGCAATAGAAAAAAATCTCATACCAATGAGCTTAAAGCAAGTCAAAAATATCCAATCCACCTAAAAACAATACTTTTATAATTGAACTAAAATTTGAATTATACAACATTAAATAGGTCCAAAATATTTAATTTATCTTAAATTTAGATATTTATATTTTATAATATTAAAGTGTACTGATAAGTAGATACTTTAATAAAGACATATAACTATGATAATTAAATTAGAAAAATATATATGTAAATTAAAAAAATCAATAAGTTTTTTTTTCTCTTTTTTATAATTTAAATTTTTTTATTGAATCAAACATTCGAACAAGACTATTTGTATATACTTAATTCTTTGTGTTGTTTCTTACTCTTATATTTTTATTTTAAGCATAGTAATATTATTATAATATAACTTGTAATTGTAATTGATACTAAATTCTTTACAGAAGAAGTTTTACATTCAATTTATTTATTTTGATAAAATTCTACATTGTTGAATTTTATTGCAATAATATAAGGTTACACCATTTAAAGACTTTTGGAATTGATTATTAAATCTTGACTAAATGCTTAATACAGTTTGAATAAACTTCAATGTGTCAAATTATGCACAAAGATATATTGAGAGTACCAAAGTCTAAACTAAATATTCTATGAGAAGGAGTCCAAATTCCAAATTAAAATAATAGATTTTTATTTTGCTTTTTGCTTTTTCTTAATTTTATGTATTTCTAATGTGGATGATTTTTATTTTTAGAATATCTTTCTAATCAATGTACTATCTAAGATTAAGAAGTATGACAGTTGCATAGTTATTAAATAGAAGTAGTTTCATCTTTGAACTTTGAAATATTTATGGAATGTTCTTATGATAAATTTAAAACTATTAATTTTTTATTTTCTTTTGATACTTCTACTATTAATTAGGCTATATTACTCCTATTATCCTTACTAATCCATAATAGTCATTCTTCTATGCCTAGTGCAAGTATGCCTATTATTTGAATCTACTAATAAAATAATTCATACCTTTATCTAACAAATACATATTTAATAAACTCCCAGCACGTAATAAAATTCATTGCAAATTTCTTGATTCTTTATATTTAGAAGAGATAATGAGAAACAACAATTCTTAAATCTTTTGATTGATTAAGTTTAAGAAGCCTCACTTAATTAGCATTATACTTTAAAAAAAACCAACCTAAATACTATTAGAGAATAAAATAAAAAAATGAAATAGAATGCACTTTTTTCTTACATGGCATAACTATTATTATCTCTTGGAACTTCTAATAGGCCCATCTGAAGAGGTGATTTTAAAATAAAATTAAGAAGACATGTAAGATATGTAAACATTAAAAAAATACTAAAAAAATATAATTATGTATATGTGTATAGATATATATATATATATATATATAAAAGATTAAACCTTAAGCAATGACCTTTTTTTAATATTCAAAAAAATAAAAATAAAATAAAACAACAACAACAACAACAACTCTTCACCAAGCAATAGGCAATGAGAGAATTGTTACTTCTTGTCGGTTACGAGTAGTTGCAGAGAACCTTCTTGAAGAGTGCTGTGTCTGTCTGTCGATATGTCTGTACAAAGCATAAAAGGAGGGCCCAAAAAATGAGAATCTTAATCAATGTTCAACGCGGCCTCGACCGTGAATTCGGGCCCGCACTGCCTTCTGTACCCATATGTTTATAAAGGTTCAGCCATGCATCGTTTTAGTAGCATACTTTCACTAGGCTTTGCAGGCCCTCCGGGTTTCGAGTGAGGAAGGAGGAGTTGGGGAACAGTTTCAGCGCGTCTTTGTTGCGGGATTGTGTCAGGTTTTGGTTACCCTCACGGCGCCGGACTAGGCCGCTGCGGAGTTTTTGAGTTTTTGGGAGCTGTCTGCGGCTACGTTTATTTTTCCACGAGGACTCAGGATGAGTAGTGCTTCAAGTGAGCATGCCCCATAACCCTTCTCTCAAAATTCTCTTCAGTTGTAACAATTTGCGGTGCTGTTTTTCTTTGGGTCTTTTTTATTTTTAGGTTTTTTGTGTGCAAATGAGATGGAGTTGGGGATGCTCAAACGGCAGTCAAACCCTTGAAGCCTAATAGACTGAAAATCCACATCGTTGCTTTTAGTGTCTTTATTCGGCATCACGACTTCGAAGTCGAATGATTTTTTCAGCTCCCCATGCTCGATTTGAAGCATTTTACTGATACGTTTCTATGATGCTGTGGAGCTGTGCCAGCATCTGGATCCTTCGTACTTACAGAACCTCAACATCCTGTTGCCGGAAGGAGGACCGTGTATGGACAGGTAGGTCCATCGGGGTATCGTATTCTATGGCAATTTGCGTTTTTCCCGTTCGGGTTAATATTACAGTTACATGTCTTTTCAAAAGATGCATGGTGTTGAGAATTCCATCCTCACTTGTTTTTATCATAATTCACGATGTCCGTTTTTTTTTACTTTGTAGCTTCAAGAGTTGAAAAAACTCTACCTTGATGATATGATTGAGCTATATAGCATGCTGACAGCCCGAAGCAATCAGGTACTCTTTCGTTAATCTCCTTTCATCTGAAGATCCCATCCAAAGTTCCTGTTTGTGCAGGAAGTGCGGATGAGATTCGCTAACTTGTGCATTTTATTGTATTGTTTTGGCTTCTGCTTTTGCGGAAAAAAATTAAAATTTCAAAAATTCAAAAAATTAAATCCAACACCCAAAACATACAATTAAGTTTGTGACTTTTGCAAGGTTTTGCATTTGTTGCGTAAAAATTACTATTTCTTCAGAAGAAAAACAGTTGTTGATTTTGTCACGGTTCTAAGTGAATCATGAACATTACCACTGTGCAACCGCCTCACAAGCTGGGTGAATGTCATTATGCAGCCCATGCCAGCAGAACAGCTCCAGAAACTAAAGCATTACAAGGATGTCTTGCATCGCATGATTCCTTATCTTCGAGTGCCAGAAGACCGAGTACCTAAAGAATTCAACGCGGACAAAGTGGATGCTTTTGAGAAGCAGATCGTGAACATCATGGAAACCTTTAAGAGAAGACGTCAAGGTGTTGCCTAGCTCTTGCAAAATCCAAACCCAGGGGGCACTGCACTACTACAATATAGCCCGTGAAATACTCCAGTGCTTAGCCATTATGAACCAGGCCAAATTATCATCACAATAAACTCAAATTTAGAGAAAGTCTGGATAGTGCGAAGCAGTCTTAGAAAGGGCACATAAACGTGTGGTGTGCCGGGTTGACTTTGGGTAGGCTTTGTCTTGCTGTTCTGTCTTGTCGATTCTGCCCATTATTCTACGTGCAATAGCCGAAGGGTTTGAACAAGTCAAACTTCAGGCTTGCTAACAGTGCAACACATACACGTCAAGGGGATCCAGTATGAGCGTACTGATAACCAAATGTTCACTTGAACGCGATCTTTCCAATCTAATCAATACCATCAGCTGACCCTGTCTTTGATCTGAGGTTCAATTTGCAATATTTAATAGCTCACTAAATGTGAATTTCATGCCATTCTTAAGTTGCGCAAGAATGTGTGCTTAGTTAGTAAGTTTACTGTTAACCAATAGTGTTGACCAATTTGCTCATCAAATTGAGCCCCCAGCGGAAATGCCTTCGCGCTCCTTAGCCTCTACATGATCGGTCAGAGGGCACTATTTCATCCTTCGGACGGCTCAGGATGAGAAAGGGCAGGGCGTAACGAGTTGCTGAACGCTCAGGATAAGATGGCACAGAAATATGGCATTGGAGATTGCATATTTGTTGGACGATCAATATGAGAAGGGGCATGTACTATAAAAAAGCAAAACTACAGAATACTGCACAAATGTCATTGTAAAACATTTTTGTTCCATGTTTCATTCTAAGAATTACTTTTTCAAAAAATATGTGCACCAGTGCAGTGCGTTTCATTATCCAGCGAGTTATCAAATACCATATTCACTTTCTTCAACCATAACTCATGTACTGTAATAAATAAAACTTCTGCTAATTTTACTCCAACATAAGTAATACATACAGATAAAAACCTGCACACATTTGTTTTCTAAAATTTTAGCTACCTATCTATCAATCTATATTATCCAGTGTATTTTCCTAATATGTCAACCATTCCAATCATAACCTAGTAAGCAGTCAGATTATTGAAGTAACGGAACTTGTCAATACACTTCGTCAAACAAACACGCACAGAAAGGATCAGACTTGCAGTTTGTGGGAATAGATTCTTCACATAAGTTTCTGAGATTTTCAGCTGCACTTAATATCAATAATCACATGAACATCAAAGATAAAGTTTAAAAAACATTCACACCCATATATATATATATATATATATATATATATATGTATATTTATATATATTATAATTCAGGTTATGCAATCATGCAATATAAAGCATACTTAGGTGTGTAAAACATTTATATCGTATTTTGGCTTTCATCCTCCTCTCTCTCAACGGCCGAAGATGACATCATAATTTATCATTCTCTCGAAATCGAAAATAGGTATTGAAACATCATGCTGAAAAACATTACTCCCTCCATCCATTGCGCGCGGGCACCACAGCCTCTGCCCGAACCGTCGCCTGGATGGATGTCGTCGACACTCGTGACATCCATCCAAGAAACTATCTATTCATTCATCAAACCACGCGACAGGCTGAGTTTGGAGGTGCGGTGTCGGTACTCTGGAGATTTGAGGCACACATCCTCACAGATGATGAGCACCCATTCCCAATTCTCCATCGTCGAGCATCAGGGGTGGAAATATTTCGACCATATGTGGCCCCTTGAGAAATGGACCTTGCAAACCGGCATCGACATCCCACAACCCGGCATGATCCGGCGTTGGTGGCGAATGCTCTATCCAACGTAACACTTTCTCCTGAGCAACAGCCAAGCCTGCACCACAACCCCTAATGACACCGGCAATGGTTTCGAACACGTCCTCCGCATATCGGATACCGATCGCAGCCACTCCTCGTAACCAACCTCCACAGTCGGGAACTTGCAAGGTTGTCATGACTACACCTACATCAAATTCACGATTTCAATCAGCAAGTCTACAGGGCCTGTACTGCTTCAGAAGCAAACGAATTTGAACGACATGGTGGTGAGCTCTTTCAACACATGTCCACTGATCCTGAAAATCATTCATATCAATGACAATCATTCAAATTTTGATAAATTTCTACGGATTCAGTAGAAATTTTGATAAATTTCTACGGATTCACGTCTCACTCGTATTTAAAGAAGCTAAGGCAGCTCCAGAAGTTCGGTAAGCAAACGGTAGACGAGTTCAGCAGGAAACACAGCATCCACCGGCACAAGAACTCGTTGCCATTCAGAAGGTCAGTGATCATCAACTATAAACTCTGGATCCAGAGTCGACACCTACAAATTACCACCAATCTGGTCACCTCACAATGCACAAACCAACTGAAAAGAGACAAGGCTCATGACGCATTCTCATGAGACGGTCAGCACTATTTATGAATACGCATTCTCATGTTCACATAAACTTTCTGAGATTTTCAGCTGCACTTAATATCCATAGTCACATGAACATCAAAGATAAAGTTTAAAAAACATTATCACCCATATATATATATATATATATATATATAAAAGATAATTCAGGATGGGAAAAAACTTCGGGAAATAAGGATGAATGCTCGAAGTGGACAAAGTTGAAAGAATCGAAGTGCGCAGAGCGTCATATCTTCGAAAGTTCCATGCGCATCCCTTCATATCCAGAAAATTCATCCTTTTTTCCCGAAATTGTGGGGAACGCGTATTTCTCGTTTCGTTCAGGAACTTGGTCTCTCGGGAGTGTACACTATTTTTAACGGAGGAATATGACGCTGTTTCCACATTTCCTCCGTTAAAAATACATACGCATCCTGACCGTCATTCAGGATGCGTATGTATCGGTAATGACAAATTACAGGACTTGCTTCACCTACAAATATTGGGAGATGATCTGCTCCTTGAGTGCAGGTTTTTATCTGTATGTATTACTTATGTTGGAGTAAAATGAGCAGAAGTTTTTTAATTACAGTGCATTAAATATGGTTGAAAAAAGTGAATATGGAATTTGATAACAAGATGGGTAAACAAACGAACTGCACTGGTGCACTTATTTTTTAAAGAAGTAATTCTGAAAGTGAAACATGGAATAGAAAAGTTTAACAATCAGATTTGCTCAGTATTTTGTAGTTTTTTCTTTTTTGTTTCTTTTTTGTTTCTCATTCTATTCATTAAACTAGATAAACAATTTGAGGAACAATTTGATTATACTTCATATATATTGGATGTTGATTTACATAATTGTATTATTATTGTTATAGTTATATATTACTACTTCTGTCTAAAATAAAGTCATTTAGACATGTTTGACAATGATATTTTGGTTTAAAATAGTGTAGTGTGTACATGTGTATGATTATGTGCAAATTAATTTTTTAATTTATTGCATGTTTAATGCTGTGGATGCTATTAAGTTTTAGATCTCTACTTTTTTGAGAAAATTAGCTAGTAATACCAAATAAAACCATGTTATATTTTTTTATTGTTCTTTTGTCAATTATCAAAAATAAATTAAAACACTTTAAGACAAAAATCAAAAATTCATGCAGATTGAAATCATAATATACAAATGTTATAAACTTGATATACAACATAATGCTAGAAGTAAGATATAATGCAATACATAGTGTAACAATAAAATGTTATATGAAACAATCTACGCCAGCAATGTAATTTTATTTATTTATTTATACTCTAGTTATAAGTGTGTCTTAATAAACATGTATATATATATATATATATATTCCCAGCACTGTGTATGTATTGTCTATACATATTGCATGTCTTATAACATGCAATATTTGCAACTTTCAATATTGTAATGCAATGTTCTGTTTTTACCATTATTGATACAAGGTACACATTGAAGCATACATAATGAGTTTTATAGGTTGAAAATTGTTGTAAATAACAGTTAAAATCAAAACACATAGGAGAAAATTACTAATATAATATTTAGTATTTATTTTATATATTCTTGATTTTATCTATAAAAAAACGTTATTATAAGAGACATTTAAATTTTGGATGTAATTGTATACATTTATACAATTAAAATCACAAAGCAATTTCTACATAATTAAAATAATGTATATTGAGTTATAAGCTAAAACCATGTATATGCCTTACATAAAAAATATAAAAGTTAATAAATTATACACATGTTGTATATTATTTGATAATATACCACTAGTGTATTTTTATTTTGTTTAATTAAAAAACTTTATTATTCAATATTTCATATTTGTATTTTATCCATGTGACTTTTAGATTCTTAAGAAAAACATTTTGTGTAATTATTTTTTACTATAATATATATGGTGCAATATATAGTATGTTTTGTAACTTTATTTTTATCCATAAAAAGTATTTACAAGTATAAATATATATATGAATAACTTTCATTAGGTAAAAATAAATGTTGTGAAAGTTATCTTTTATGATCTTTTGATATTCACAAACAAAGATAGATGTCTAAAGTTGATGAATAGAACTTGTTAATTTATAAATAGATCTTTAGAAGAAAAATGTGTGTATATCTATCTATCTATCTATCTATCTATCTATATATTTTATAAGGGAAATGTTAAAAATTCCTAGGCTTGTACTAAATTGATCCACTTATCCTAACCATCATGAAAAAAATAAAATCACCTCTAAATTCATTTCTCCATTATTGAATCCAAAACCAATAAAAACCAACCACATTCATCATGATTATCATATTCTTTATCATGGATAGGTCAATTTAGTAAAAACTTAGGACTGTTTAACATTTCTCTTTAATAAAGCTCAATATTTTTTCCAATTAAAATAAAAATAATCAATTTTTTATGACCTTTTAAGACTTTATAGTGTTGGATATTATATTTAAAGAAATAAAAGTCACGTTATTAGTGAAATGCAAATCTAGAATTTTGAATGTGTTCCATCATAGTTTCGTCATTCATCCATAATGAGAAAGCGACGATCGGGTTCATCTATCCATCCCTCAGAGAAGGGCGGTGGTGTTTTGCGGCTTCGAGCCAAAAGGCTTTCTCTCGCTCGGGACGGTCTTCACGACATTTGCAAATCCTCCTTTGCAGCAAAACACTCTGTGGGATAGGGGAGAGAGAGCTTCGACGGGGCTAGGGTTTGGTGGTTTGTTCTGTGTTGCGCTATGACGACGGCAATGGAAGTCACGGCCGTGACTCCGACGGGGATAGCTCCAGTCTTATCGGCGAAAACTTTCTTACTGGATCCTGTCGTGGCGGAACTCGATGAGGAGGATCTCTACACTAGGCAAAAGCTGTTAATGCGGCAGCTGGAGTTCCTGGACATTCAAGAGGAGTACATTAAGGATGAGCAGAAAAATTTGAAACGTGAGTTGCTTAGGGCACAGGAGGAGGTTAAGCGGATTCAATCCGTGCCGCTTGTCATTGGACAGTTTATCGAGATGGTGGACCAGAATAATGGAATTGTCGGGTCTACTACCGGGTCGAACTATTATGTGCGGATTTTGAGTACGATCAATCGAGAGCTTCTGAAGCCATCGTCCTCGGTTGCGCTTCATAGGCATTCGAATGCGTTAGTGGATGTGCTGCCGCCTGAAGCAGATTCTAGCATCTCTCTGTTGACACAATCCGAGAAGCCTGATGTGTCCTATAATGTACGTTTCATTTATTTCTATGACCTTTATATTGATATTTTTGTCGATGTGGAGAGGTGTATGTGGAACGAGCAGTGTAGCCCTCTTGCATGTTATCTCATAAATTCTTTACGCTGGAGTGGTCAGCTACACTAGCTTAATTGGTGTGGTATTTCTGAAAGCAACGAAGAGTTAACTATAATCGTAGCCTTTATTGCTCATATGTTTATTGATCACTATTAGCTTTATCATTGCTGTATCTATCGAGGTGCGTCGTAATTATTCCAATTGATACACAACGTTCAATATTTCGCTGCGAATTCAATGATTCCTGGACTGGCTTGCTTAGCATCGTGTTGGTGTTTACTATGAATTGGCGGTGATGTATTTGGTTGAGTGCAGGATATAGGTGGGTGTGATATTCAGAAACAAGAGATTAGGGAAGCTGTGGAGCTTCCACTTACTCATCACGAGTTATACAAGCAGATTGGTATTGACCCACCCCGAGGTGTGTTGCTTTATGGACCTCCTGGAACGGGGAAGACCATGCTTGCTAAGGCTGTTGCTCATCACACGACTGCAGCTTTCATTCGTGTTGTCGGTTCTGAGTTCGTGCAGAAATATCTTGGAGAGGTAGGATTCCTTTTACGTCATCCCCCGACCCTCGGGGGAGGAGTGATTTTTATTCTAAAAATTTCGTTCTCTAATTGCCTGGCCTAATTTGAATGATCACTGTCATTATTACTTTTATTTTTATATTGTGTTAAGTCAAACTCTATTCATTTTCAGAGCTATTTGTTTGAACAATTCTTTCAGGAGATCTTGTTGTTCAGCGTTCATGTTTCTGAATGCCAATTGTGCTGTGCTTGATATTAAAATAAACGAAATGTAAATTTTGTCATAGGGTCCCCGCATGGTACGTGACGTATTCCGACTGGCAAAGGAGAATGCCCCAGCCATTATCTTCATTGATGAGATTGATGCAATTGCGACAGCTCGTTTTGATGCTCAAACCGGAGCAGATAGGGAGGTTCAGCGTATCTTGATGGAGCTCTTGAACCAGGTTTGAGAATCATTCCTTTTGGAATTTGTAAAGTCTCTGGAGCTCACTCTTTTCGAGTGTTTGGTAAAGCACTTGTCACATAAGTCAGTTCTTACGACTAATGATGTTTATTTTCTGAGAAGTCATTTTTAGCATGTCGAGGCCAAGGCTATAAGACTTTCACATTCTTTGGTAATGTTAGACGATTGCCGAACTAGAGTCATGTGTAGGTGTGAAATTTTGCTCATTTTTATCTTTTCCTTCTCTCTCTCTCTCGTTTTTGTTTTGTTTTGTTTTGTTTATTTACTTAACTCTTTATTTTTGCTATGGGTGCAGATGGATGGTTTCGATCAAACAGTTAATGTAAAGGTAATTATGGCCACCAATCGAGCGGATACTCTTGACCCCGCTTTACTGCGACCTGGACGACTCGATCGGAAAATTGAGTTTCCACTGCCTGACAGGAGACAGAAACGTCTTGTTTTCCAGGCGAGTCTCCTGATTCTGAGGGCTTTTGTCCAATGCCCTAAATGGTTAATTTTTGTGTATTTGTGAAGATGTGATGTCAATTCTATGTTGGACTCTCCAGTGATCTTGAAAATATGAGTTGAGAATACTTTCTTGGTAGTTATTTTCTCTAATTTTTCTTGTCTGATGTGCTGCTGACGAATTTTTGAAAATTTCAATAGGTGTGCACTGCAAAGATGAACTTAAGCGAGGAAGTTGATCTCGAAGACTATGTCTCGAGGCCCGACAAGATCAGTGCTGCAGAGGTGTGTTATCCTACCATTATGACCACTCTCATTCCTGCAGAAGCTATATGGGGATGTATATACCCACATATACACATATGTTGGATGGGTTAGAAATAGCACTCTTATTTATTTATTTATTTATTTATCTATTAATTTTTAATATCGTACATGTTTTGTATCAAACATATGGTTGGGCAATTTGAATTACAGCTTCGAAACCTAACTCTATGTCGATTCACGAGCATTTAGATCGTTTGTGGCTACGCTGAAACTCTTTGTTGGTCATTGCTTGCAGATTTCCGCTATTTGTCAGGAGGCTGGTATGCATGCAGTACGGAAGAATCGTTACGTGATTTTGCCCAAGGATTTTGAAAAGGGCTATAGATCTAATGTTAAAAAGTCTGATACAGACTTTGAGTTCTACAGGTAGATGCCTATTAGCTTTCTGATTTCTGCAATGCAGCTGAACATAAAGAAAGAATTGCTTTAGGTTTATTAATTCCTTCAATGGTGTGAACCGGGATATAGAGGGGCTAATGCTTCTTGTAATTTGACCTACAAAGGGCTTTAATAGGTAAAGTTTGTGAGTCCTTTAATAGGTAAAGTTTGTGAGTCCTTTAATAGGTAAAGTTTGTGTAGTCGATTTCGTTTGTGCATCATTTATATGTAACCTGGTAAACAGTTAGATGGCTCTATGCTCGGCATAGTCTAAGACGAAATTGAACTGTTGTGAAATTGCTGTGCTTCAGCTCTCATGGGTAGCAAGTAGTTTGTACATTTATAATTCCTACTTTATCGTCACTTTTGCCCGATGAAGTTTAGTTTCTTCAGCTTTTTTCTATGCTTTCTTCTTTGCGAAGTAAAACTATCCAGCGAATTGTTTGTTTAAAAACCTCTTCCTTCGCTGTGCGGCTTTTCACCATTTCAGACTTCACTTGATACTGAGTTACTAGGGTACAAATAATCTGCCCATTCTCCCCGTTTCATTGATTCCTAGTGGATGTGCTGCCGAACATCAAAAACCTCAGTAGAACCTGTTTTCCTTACTTTGGAGGTTTTGTTGCTCTGTACTAAAGCGCAGTGCCCAGTCCCTGCAACTAGAATACGTCTTCATAGCCACAAATGATGCTGGAAGCACCTTATCACGTAGAAATTCGTTTTTGCAAAATTCTACTCTCTCGACAAGCAAGTTTGAGATTGTTTCACTGAGCCAGTCTCTGATAGTTTGTAACCCGACCAGAAGATGTTCGACAGCATTTCCGGCACTAAAACGATTCACTAGCCTTAAGACAATAATAGCCAACAATTGCGGATGCCACCAAGAAACCAACTGCAACGTTGTAGCCATTTCTTCAGCATTCTATGTACCGTGAAAGTTTGTCTCTGTAGCTGCCATGGCCTGTTGTGTTTGTTGACCTAATTCGAATGAGGCCAAACCAACATCCTCCCTTCTACCATCGAAAGTTCATTTCAGGTTCCGACCATCCACTATCAGTGGAATTAAGAGTAAGCTGTCGTGTTGCTCTGCTAGATTATGATACGGAGAAGCGTAGTAGGCTCACGAAGCAGAGGTAGAACCATTGCAAACAGGTTGAACGGCGAAGAACCCTAAAACGACTACCAGCAACTTGTGCCCACTTCCTCAAACTCAGAAACCCTAAATTCGAAGTGAAATGACAGCCGAGTTTACCGTAGCTTGGTACAGACATCTCAAACGAGTGTAAGTTATTACTTGAATTCAGTAAAACAAGTGCACACGACACGCTCAAAGATATGATTTCATAGTGTTAAGTCAAATATATTATTGTGATCTCTTTATTGTGAAGTGACTGTGCTGAATCTCTGCCCAAATCATGAAAAAGCAGTCTAGAGAAGTGCGTGGACAAGAAAATACTCTACCTGCAGCTTACCTTCTTGGATTTTTCTCATGGTTGATTTTAGTGTTCTGCCCTGAGATGACGAATTTTCGTGATGACATTCTACAAAGGTTTCTTTGTCACACGTGGACTTCCGTTTTCAACACCGAAGACACAAACCATCTACAGTCTCAATGTCAGATGTTGTGCCCCGGAGTTGTGAAAGTCACACTGCTCTAAAGCCATTTGGGTGGAAGGCCTTGTAGATCTTGTAATGCAACGCATCGAAGAAGTCTTGACACGCAGAAGTAGAAATAATTGTAAGAAGGCAATTGAAAAGTATCACATACAACAACTGCTGGGACTTGATCACGCTCACACTACAGAAGAATTCGATTGAATGAGAGGGTGTCAAAACTTCAATTGCTCCAAAAGCATGTCTGATGCTGCCAGACGTGTGCGAGGCATTCTTCTCTAGCAGAATTAGGCCCCTGCCTTGTGCTGGACAGAGCATCAAATGAAACAATCGAGGCTGTCTGTGTCTGTCTACTTCTTCTCCTACAGCTTTACCAGTATCACATAAATATGTCTACAATTTTACACGTCTACAAGTTTACACAGTAATTCAACGTCAAACCGGGGGCATCGTGAGCATCGCGGGGATGATGGCTAAAAAATCAAGTCGTGCACGAAGTTGTAGGCTATTTTAAATTGAGTCTTCGCACACTGCAGCCATCGGAGGAAGGAGGAACTCTTCTGCTTCTAGCTGATCCAGACTTGGTTGAAAAGCAGGAAACAACGACATTGTTGTCAGGCTCGGTGAAAGAGGCAATTGTCCTGAAGATGAGATTCTGAGTAAATGGAGAGTGGCGTCGATTTCACAAGGGTTTAACCTCGACTCCAAAAGATTTGTGGGAGCTCTGTCTCAGAGAGCGAAGAAATACACATGTTGAGGATGTTGGGCATCGAGGAATGCTTGTGGTCTCACAGGTAGGTGGCCATTACGGTGGGTAATAACCGTCCCCGAAAATGTTGCAATCCATAGCCTCTTGATCAAAATCGAATTCATACATGAGGGCTTCAATGCTTGCTAAGTCGTCGTCAAGGATAATTTGGTTCAAGTCGCGATTGAAAGAGAAACAACCATGTCCAATCCCCTCTCTCAGGAGCGTGGAAGAGGCCACTTCCATGGTGCAGACAGTATCAAGGGGTTGCTCAGTGTACGTGCAAGATTGAATATCAGGTGCTGATGAGTGCTGAGTGCTGAGCTTGTAAGTAGTATCTACATGAGTCGCAACCATACCATCGTTGGTTGAACCAGAGTTCTTCTTTTCCAATCCCGCTACCTCCTTCGCAAGCTTCGCGATGGCACTTCGTTGCGCCTCGGGGGACAAGTGCGAGGAGATTTTCCTCAACAAGCGAGGCGAATCCTCAAAGTTCAGCGGCAAATTCTTCTTGCAACACAAGTTTCCTATGTCAAAGGCTCGCGCAGCCTCCCTCGCAGTGTCATACGTCCCCAGCCAGATTTTCTTCAAGCTCTTCGTGGGCCGAATCTCTGACACGTACTTTCCCAGCCCGTCACGATACCTCACGCCTCTGTACTCAGGCACGGCAGTGGAATTCGGATGAACCAAATCACCCAGTATTTGACGCAACGCATCGCGTCGGCGCGGCGGGGAAGGGCTGTCCGAGATCGAAGACGAAGGAGACGTCGACCCAAAGAACGATCGCCTAGAATTTCTTCTTCGCCCTCGTGGCGACGCTTGCTCTGCACATCTTCGAGGAATCTTCGATCCCATATCACTCCCAAAGAAATTCCTTCACTCAACGTCGGAACAATCCCAAAAGGAAAAATTCCCTACAACTCAATCTCACACAAACTCCAACCACAGAGTGCAAAAAACAATTATCAATCAACACCCTGTCTGATGGCATCCAGCTCTTCAAAAACAATCTCAAGCCTCTCTCGCAATCCAAAATTCACACCGAAACATGTACAAAATTTCCCTTTCCGAAGAGAAATTTTTCCTTCTCTGCGGCCACGTTCTGCAACGAAGCACAGATTTACAGTCATGGAACTAGCCAACCCGAAGCTCACAGTCGGGAGGGAACCTTTTTGTAGCTCTCGGCTGCAGCCTCCTCAGTTGCAGACAATTCGAGTGCGAGATTACTCCGCAACACAATGAAAGGCCGCGTGGGGCCCATAATTCGAGGGACCCACCATCGATGGCGCGACGTCGAACCTGTCTGCGTGGCGAAGTGTCGGTAGCCTTCAAACTCCTTCATGGACGTATTCCTTTGTCTGCCGCATTTCAAGCAAAATCAGCTTCCTCTCTTCGGCGTGGTTACGACGCGTGCTGAGTGTGGCGTCGCCGTTAGATCCACCATTTCGACGATGCGATTCACTGCACTGCGCCATCATTACCATCCCCGAAGCTCTCCATTTCCTCGCAAATCCATTGCTAGGCCCCGCCTTCCCCCGCTCCCCGCCTTCGGCACCGTCAATCTTCTCTTCCGCACTCCGAAGTAGAAGCTTCGCGGAAGCGTCGCCGCCGAAATTCTCATTCGTCGTCGGATAATTCATCCATTTGGATGAACTCGGTTGACAGAGTCAAAGCCTATCCCACAAGTTTGGTTACTGTTCCATAATTCCCTTTGTCTGTATCGAAATTGTGTGTGGAATATCTTCACTTTGTTGTTGCTTGAGGCCCACTTTTTCATGAAAAATTACCTTTTTTTTAAAAAAAAAATTCTGTAAAATTTCGATTTTCGGTGCTTACCTTTGCCCAGTATAAAATAATTGGGTTTTGGTGTGCTTGCGTGCTCAGCAGTCCTGGGGTTTTAGATAATGTGTGAAGGATTTACAAGTAGACTTTTTTAAACGTTAAGGATAATTTATGAAAGAGAGCTTTTTTCGTTAAAACATACCAAACAAAGGTCAGTTCATTATTATTATTATTATCATTAGTTATTTATTTATTTATTAATTTTGTGTATTTTTATACTGTATGGTTTCAATTCCAATACTTTTTCTCAAGTATTCTCTTTGTGCAAGGGGAGATGTCTTGTATGTAATAGAAACTCTTAAAATTGGTACTTTAATAATTCCTTCATGCCATAGTATGCAAACAATGGTTTTAAAAATAAAAAACTAGTAACTTATAAAATAACTATGTAATATTATAATATTTGATATGTTGATATTATAATTGCACCGTCTCATGTAAAATAACTAGCAAATTGTGTTTTCTCAGAGTTTTTAAAATTTAAATACCATATTTTTTACAAAGCTTATTTGATTACTTTTTATTGTCACACTACATTAAAAATAATGATTTGTAATTTCTGAATTAATATATATATATATATATATATATATTAATATTCGATAATAAAAAATTTATAATAACATTTAAGATTTTAAAGTGTTTTGTTTCCTAAAGATAATGCAATGAAAATAATAGCATTTTTCTATTTAATGATTTTAAAATTATTTTTTTGGACATATATATATATAAATATGATATTATTTTATAAACTTTTATGTAAAACTTTACAAAGATTCCATGTAAAATCAATATTAATCAATATAGTGCAAGACTACTAATTTTTTTATATGTAAATTTTCTGTAAAAATATTTTATTTATTTATTTATTTTAAATACACATTTATTATTATTTTTAAAGACAGTTTATCTACCACAAAAATTCCATAAAAACTCCTGTGGGGCAAGGAATTTGTAATAAAGTTTATTAATCTACAAGCTTACGGTTTATATTGGATAAGCAATGGTTATTAATATTAATACATGTTTCATTAAGGATTCTTTGATTTAATTTATGTACTATGTATATGTGTGAAGGTTTTTTTGTTAATCTTATGTAACCGATACCATCAATAGTTTAAATAAATAAGTAACACTTTCAATATTTTAAATTTAATTTAAATTAAAATACATGTTGTAGTATAAATCTATAGGAATATTTACTAAATTTAATATATTTAAATATATTTTTAATATTTTTTAATATAGTTTGATTATCCATAAAATAAATAAATTATTATTTTTAATATGTGAAAAAAAAATATATTAGTTTACTTAACAAACAACCCTTTAAGGATAAATCATGTTAAAAATTCTTAAAAAATAATAATATAAATAAAGATGAATAAATAAACACAGTAATATAATTATTTTTTGATTTATTCTATTAAGATAAGAAATTATATGTGTACATGTATTTTAATATATATATATATATATATATATAGATAAAACTTTCATTCAAAAGTTCTGCTTCAATTTTCATGCAGTTCTACTAATTATCAACAAGAACATCATGCAATTTAATTTTTTTTGTTTGTTTGTTTGTTTGCTTGTTTTTTTTTTTTTTTTTTTTTTTTTTTTTTTTTTAAAACATGTTTTCTTAATTTATGAACACAAAAACACATGGTGTATTTCAATAAAAAATTTAAAATTTATATGTACTTTTATCCACACAAAATTAAACATTGACAACTTTAATAATCCCGTGCTTTATAGAAATTTTAGAAGACCAGGTGTAGTGTGCACAAGTGATAAAATCGTTCTGATACATAGAACAATCCAAACAGTAACAAAGCAAGAGCTTATAGGCCAAGGAATTGCAAAATGAGTAAAAAAAACAACGAGCTGATGCAACAGAATACTCTTCATAACTGGATGGATGAACAGATAGATGAATGACGCGATAGATCAACGGATGGATATTTAGATGAATGACGGACACATGGATGAACAAACGGATGAATAGATACATGAATGCAGTGATAGATGGATGGACGAAGTTACGGGTAGAACCTCCACGATGAGAACATGCCTGCGTTGTGAGCCGTTGCGACTTCGTCGCCGATGAAGTAGCGTTGATCCAGCATACATCAGTGTCGGGGCATCAGTTACACGCAGCTGCGCAGTGAAATTTGCGGCTCCCGTGGTGACGATTTCAGCGTTTTTCACGTCAGACGAATTATTATCTTTCGATCGACAATGCTCAGTACTTGTCGCCGTCCTCTACAAAACAGAAACGTGTTGGCTGTGGAGGTCCGAAAATCACAATAGTAGATTCGTCTTGAGATTAAATTCAATAATCACTGTTGTTTCCACGGCCACCGTAAGAGCTACAGGCGGCTAAACACTCTGGGTCCGAGCTGGCGTATAAGACGTCTTGTTCTCAGATGTCCAGAAACAGATGAGCTTTCCTGCTTCAAAGACCTGAATCTTTTTCTACTTCCCTGAAATGAATCGATCTTTGCTCAATCTTATTCACTGAAACATTGGGAGTGTTTCACATATATTTCACGTAGCAGTAGAGAGCGTTCAACATTTTTACAGTGACATCTATTTCAAATTCCGCTTCTCAGACAAAAAAGAATGATTTCATTGCACGAGAGAAGTGAAACCTTTGCCCTACCGAGGCTCAAACCATTATTCACAGAAGTTCTCCGACCAGCTTGGCCATCTTGAATCGGTGAAGTACAAGCAACATTCTGAACACAAGAATTCATGTAGCCTTCGATTCCCTTCCTGCCGGTAGAATTTTTACTATGAAAGAATTTCCTCGCTAATCTTGCAGCATTTGCTGGAACCTTATCTTATCTAGAGCATCTAATTCATACTGTCCTATTGCCTAATCAGACTTACCTAGAGCCATCATAAATTCCCCTTCACACACCAAGTCTCCACCTACGTAGGCTTGCCCATCCATCTTCGCAACTCCGAACCTCTTGTTCAGCTTAGTGAGCTTCATCTTCATCAGCAGGGTATCGCCTGCAATAACTGGTTTCCGGAATCGCACTTTATCCACTCCGGCAAAAAAGAACGACTCCTTCGAACCTCCAACTTCCGGCTGCAGCATCATAATGCCTGCTGCCTGCGCCATAGCCTACACTCACAAGAACAGCAAGGCAGACACCCTCTTTAATTCGTACAGAAGTAAACGGCGTTTCAACGTTACGCGCAGTGCTTACAAAAAGATCGAAAACCCGGCCTACGATTCCAAATACAACGGAGGCGAGAATGCAACCAATAAAACTGTCATGCTATCGCAATATGCCCTAGAAGTAAATTGCAGTCTAATTTCACCTTCACATTGAGATTAGCGCACAAAATGCTGTCTCACCTCAAGCATGAGCACACCAGGCATGATAGGTCGCTGGGGGAAGTGACCAGGGAAGAAATTGTCATTGATAGTCACGTTCTTAATGGCGACAACTGACTCCCCGGGATTGTATTCAATTACTCTGTCCACCAACAGGAATGGAAACCTGTGCGGCAGGATATCCATGATCTGATTAATATCCAACACGGCGGGGAATGCGGGGTATCTCTTCTCGATTGGAATCTCTGCCTCACCTGAAGCAGGAGTCTCCACCGGGGCTGCCGTGTTCGTCGAGTTCCCGCCCGACGCCTTCACTCCCTTCAAGGTCCTCCTCGCAACACGCGCCGCGCTATTCCGGCTCCGCAACGCGACGAGCTTCTTCCCGCCGACATTGCCCACGAACAACGACGCCTTCGAGGCAGGCGCAACCGACCAAGACAGGCTAGTGCAAGAGAGCGCCTCCATCGCTGGGCTCATTGTGCCTGCGCCTACGACAGCTGCTGCCATTGAATCCAAGCTCCGCTAAAAGCCCTCGAAAATCCCAGACTCGTGAAACAATGGACAACCAGACACCCCTCGGAAGCCCGCCTACAGCCAGCGAAGGAAGCTTGGAAGCGAAGACCACTCTCTCTGTCCACGAAATCACCATCCAGATTTTGGATGAACATGGATGAATGCTTTAAATGGATGAATACATGTGAATGAATGGATATGATGGATGTGGATGGATGAATGGGATGCACTGAACGAGGCTAGTGACGTATATCGTGTGTATAGAGTATCCTTCGTGGCTCTGCAGCAAATATCCTTCGTGGCTCTGCAGCAAATATCCTTCGTGGCTCTGCAGCAAATATCCTTCGTGGCTCCACTTATACATACATTTAAAACTATGTATCCTAAAATGAAAAAAACTATACATCTGCAAAAGCTCAAAGGGTTCTTTGAATTTATTATATTATATTATATTATATTCATTTTTGAAAATGATCTTACATATAAATTCAAATAGTAATTCAAATTAATTGAATTACATTTGGTGTTACTCTTGTAATTTTCTTCATTGTTCTATTTTACATGATTGTATAAAAACCTAAACATTACTTAGTCAAATACATGAATTTTTAATTATTATTATTATTATTATTATTATTATTTGGTTAATCTGCATCAATTTTGAGCATGCATTTTTGAATCTTTGTTGACTTTAGAACAAGTTTTTTTTAATTATCATATTATCTTTTAAAAAACATCAGAATTCTACCATAAGATACATGCATTATATTTCAAATTATAAAATATTATTCTATCAAATTTATAAAAATTAAACTATACATTTCTTTAAAATTTGTAAAATAATATATGTAAAAGTGTTAAATTTTCACTTTGTTGTATTTAATGTAGAAAAGAAAAAAAATTCCCAGCTTGATAGACTTTACATAAGAATTTTAAGTAACATAAACTCCTATGCAATCTTTTATAGGTAAACACATATTTATCTACATAATTGGCTAATTTTCAATCAAAGGGGACAATTGCATTTTCAAATAGAAATAGAGATTTTCAATGGAATAAATCATTTGAATTACAACAATCTTAATATATATCAAGTAAATTTATTCTACAAGTATTAGCAACTAGACATCATAAATCACAAATATACAACATATCATCTTCATTGCTATTTTTTTATTATTTTTAAATAAATGGCTAAAACAATATATATATTTAAAAATAAAATAAAATTTATATTATAAAAAATATTAAAAAACTTTAAATATTTGAAGCAAAACAATTTAATAATTTTTTAGAAAAAAATGATAAAATAATAAAATTAATAAGTTGAATAAAAAATAGAAAATAAAAATAGAAAATAATAATAATCTATAATAATAATTATTATAAAGAAAAGATATAACATAATAAAAATAAATAAATATAATATATATATATATATATATATATATATATATATATATATTTTCTGTGTTTGAAAACCAAAAACAAATTGAAAAAAATATTATCAAAGACATGAATTTCAAAGAAAGAAAACTCAATACACTCTTGTGTCACTGAAAAAGATTTAGAAAATAACTCAAAGATGATAATATATTGAACTAAAATATCTATTATCAAAGATAAGAAGATTAGAAAGTCTTGAAACAAGATTGAGGACTAAAAAGATATTTATAAGAGTAAAAAAGGCTTCATTCTTACTTCCATATATACTATCTAACTAGTAGCTAAGTGACAATGTTCTATAGGACCTCCAATACATGTTGACTTTGTAAGACACATATTTTAATTTACAAAGTAAGTTTTCTATATATACACCATATAATAAGCTTGTTCTACAAGCTACCAAAACGTGTGACATATGGCTAACTTGTTCACGAAATTTTTAACCTATCAATAAATTACAAATACATATAAAGTCAAAATTATGTCTATGAAGCTTCTAGAAAGCTTATCTAGAAGATATTATAAAATTATTTCATATTTATTTATTTCTACTTAATTATATAAGTAATTATTAGAATAAATATATATGTATGTGACATTATCTTTTTTTTAAAGATAAATTTCACAAGGAATAGTCATCATATGTTGAAAAAAATCTAAGATGAGACAAATTATATTTGTCATATATTTTGATCTTTGTTCTTTTTGAAGATAGTTAATAGGTCTTCTGAGCCATTGATAGTATCTTATACCAGAGCAAGAAGAATACCTTATTAATTGATTATTGTTGAGGCCTTCATTACTCCTTTCAAGTAAAATATTTGGAATACCATCAAGAGTTGTTTCTACCTTTAATAATATTAATAAACATTAAGAGTCTCTTCTAAGGTCGTTATATCAAATACATTGTATCTTGCTATCTATTCAAGGAAAGACATATTGTTCTTAAGGATCTTCATTTCAATTACTTTGCCTTGAAAGTTGTGACAATTATAATATTTTGTTTGGTAAGTCAATAAATGATAGTTCTTGAATTGAATCTATTGGTTGTTGGTTTTCCATCTCTTTAATACCACAAATATACAAAAAACTATGAAAAAGAATAGAAGGTAGAATGTTATTTTTTTTGAATCTTGTTTCTTTTATACTAAATATTTTCTATTCTTCATCTTGATTTTGATAGATGTCATTGATGAAAAGTATCAATTCTCTTTACTACATTTATAAGATTCTTTATTTGCTCTCATACGTATTTATTAATATCATATCTAAGCCAATGAATAAGATTTTTCAACCTATTTTAGTGTTGCTTTGAATCCAAGGCTTCATCTACTTCAAACTATTGATTATTATGTATTTCAATAGAAGGAGGTGATATTTTTATTTTTTGTAAGATATTCATTATCTTATATGATTTAAGAAGAGATATATGGAATATAGAATGGATCTTCATAGACTATAATAGATGTAATTGATAAGCAATATGATTGACTTGTTAATAAATAGAAAATGGTCCAAGCCTATGATAATCCAACTTGTCACAACTACAGCTAGTCTTGATATTATTATGACATAACCATACCTTATGTCAAAGGTATGAATCTTGAAGAATTGAAAGATCAAGATGCATTTATGTCACTCAAAGATAAACATTGAAAGATGATATAATATTAAATTAGAATAGCTATTATCAATGATAAGAAGACTAAAAATTCTTAAAACAAGACTAAGAACTAGGAAGGCATTGACAAGAATAAAAAAGGCTTTATTCTTGTCTCTATATATATTATCTACTAGGAGCTATGTGGCGATGTTCTACAAGATCTCCAACATGTATTAACTTTGTAAAACATACCTTAACTTACAAGGCAAGTTTTTTAATATGTGTGATATATAATTAGCTTGTTTTTTAAGCTATCAACATGTGTAATATGAAATTAACTTATTGGCTAGATTTTTAATCTATCAATGAACTACAAATATGTATAAAATTAAAACTGTATTTACATAGCTTCTAGGAAGCATTTCTAGAAGATATTATGAAATTAATTTATATTTACTTACATCTATCTAATTATATAAGGAATTATTAGAGTAAATATATATATTTCTAATATTATGTCCCATTCTAAAAATGAGTTTCACAAGGAGGGATCATCATCTTTAATGAATCTTACTATACTTTATTTTGATTTTGATAAATAATGTTAATGAAAAGCCTCAACCTTTTTTATTACATTTATAAGATTTTTTGTTGGCTTCCATGCGCTTTCATCAATATCATATCAATGCTAATAAATAAGATATTTTAACCTATTTTAGTACCTTTTTAAATCTAAAACTTCTTCTATTTCAAATTCTTGATTCTTATTTATTTCTATATAAAGAAGTGGCATTTTTTTTCTTTCTAAGATATTCATTGTCTTAAATGGTTCAAAAAGAGATATATGGAATATAGAATGGATCTTCATAGACTCCAATAGATATAATTTATAAGCAACATGATTGATTTTTTTACAAATAAGAAAAGATTTAAGCCTATAATAGTAGATTTTGTTGTAAGAACAAGTAGACTTGATATTGCAATGAAGTAATTATATTTTGTCACCCATATTAATTTGTGGTCATTCATTATATTAGGCATTTGTATTGATCTTTTCTTATTCTTGATCTTCTTTTATTTTCACCTTTATTATTTTATATAATTCCAACAAATAATTTGGTTAATCTTCCATTGTAAGATTATCGACTTTTAAAAAGTCAAAAATATCAAATTATAGATGATAATCATAATTGGCAAAGAAGATATTTGTTGTATAAAAGAAATTATTAAATTATTGTATGTAAAAAGTCTTTTAGTTTTTTATATTTGTATCCGCCAATTTTTTTTGAATATAAGCTCTAAAATCTTGTTATATCCAAAATTTCCTAGCATTAGAAAGTTGTGACATACTTATTCTTCTAGAATATATAGACAATCTTAAAAATATCATAGATTGTTCTTAAACTTTAATTTTGAAGTATTAGAGAGTTTGAAGAAGTATTCTTGATGTCATGAACAAGAAGATCAAATGACATATTTGATTGAATTTACTTGATTAAGGTTGAATTAATAATCAATGTTGATTTTATTGCTCAAAAATGAAATTTTTGAAGCTTCAAAACAACCATTCTTTATTAATCATTAGCTACATCTTATTCTTTTGATACAAGATAAAAACATTTAGAAAGTGCATTTGATAAACTTTGTTGTTTTTAAAGTTAACATATGATCTTAAAATCAAATATTCATAATGACATGCTTCCATGAATTTGGCAATAATTCAACATCTATATTGACATGAAATACTCAAGGTTCTTATGATCTGTATATATAATGATTGAATTAGAAGTGCCTTTTAAATAATGACGCTATTAAAAAAATCTATAGTTGCAAAAAGTTCTTTATTGTAGGTTTTGTAGTTGATTTCAATTGCTAAAAATTTCTCAAAATGAAAAACTATCAAGTGGAGCTTGTCATTTATTTCCATTCATAACAAAACAATACATATAGCAAAGTTTGATGTATTTTTTTTAGTAAAAAAAAATTCAAAAAATTGATGCTATATAAAATTGATGCACAAATAAATATTAGTTTCAAGGCTTCAAAAGA